TATAATAAACTGAATTTTTGATTTAAAATCAGACATTTCATATTTAATGACCTAATAGCTCCCTAGGGCTGCTGTAATGAAGTAGCACCAACTGGGAGGCTTAAACAACAGAAATTTATTTTCTTGCAGTTGTGGTGGGCAGTAGGCTGAAACCAAGGTGTGGGTGGGGTTGGTTCTGGAGGCTCTGAGAGAGAATCCATGCCATGCCTCTCCCCTCACTCCAGTGACTGGGGTAATTCTTGGCATTTCTTCCTTGGTAGATGCATCTTTCTAACCTCCATCCCCATCTTCATGCTAACTTTTTCCCTCTGTGTCTTCATATTTTCATATGGCCTTCTCCTCTGTGTCTTCTCCTCTTCCTTTTTTTTTTTTTTTTTTTGAGACAGTCTCACTATTGTCCCCCACCCCCAAGAGTGCAGTGGCATGATCATAGCTCACTACAACCTTAAACTTGTGGGCTCAAAGCCGTCCTCTTGCCTCAGCATCCTAAGTAGCTAGGACTACAGGTGCACACCATCATGCCCACCAATGTTTTTTTCTATTTTTACTAGAGATGGGGTCTCACTCTTGCTCAGGCTGGTCTCAAACTCCTGAGCTCAAGCAGTCCTCCCACCTCAACCTTTCAGAGTGCTGGGATGACAGGCATAAACCACCACTCCTGGATTTCTCCCCGCATAAGGACATTCACCACTGGATTTAGAGCCTCCGCTGATCTAGAATGATCTCATCTCAAGATCCTTAGCTTAATCACATGTGCAAAGACTCTTTTACCAAATAAAATCCCAGGTTCCAGGTCCACATATCTTTTGGGGGGTGGGAGGGCATGTCACCGTTTAACTCACCATAGCCCAGGTCCCTGTACTAGCCCCTGCTACACCTGGGTTTCATCATCTGCGCATTTACCACCGTCTCTAGGCAGGGCTACCTCGCTGGGCACTGGGGGGGCGATTCAAAGAAAGCATCGGAGCCCCTGCTCTCCAACAGCTAAACTGCAGAGGGACAGGGTGTAAGACTGCCTCGTGAAACTACAAATCTCCTCTTCCTGATTCCTATTTTTTGCTAATGGCTTGAAATCACAGCATCCTCTTTGACTCTTCTTGTTTCATTTCCCATGCATATCCTGTTGGTTTCTGAGGAAGGAAGAGAAAGGAAAAAGGAAGAGATAGAGGAGAGCAAGCAAAGCAGATGCATTTCTTGCTGGTAATCTAGTCATTCTGGCCCCTAACCACATTGGAAAGCTGTCATCCTGCATGCTGGAAGGAATTAGCCGGGAAGGAGGGACGATTGCTCTTCCTCCCTTTAGTGAATTCTGACTTGGCTGAGGAAAGAAAGTGGAAGGAGATTGCAGATAGTTGGTAAATTAAGGTGGGCATAACTCCAATGCAGAACTCTACTCAGCAAGTACTTGGGTAGAAACGCCACTAAGAGATTTGCCAAGCCAGAACCACTGCTCCCATAGCAGAATATACCATAGTCAGGCTTGAAATCTGAAGAGAAAATCTGGCTTGCGTTAAGTAGAAATAAATAACATTTATAAGCAACCAGGAGGTCATTAAGCAGGAGTTAGTGTTTATATATGAAAAATAGATGATCGAATATATTTCCTTTTTGCATAATTTATCCTAATTTAATATGGAGTTTATTTTTATAGAGAAAGCATAGATAATTTTACAATAACCAAATAGACATTTTACATGAACATGAGGATGGCTTCTACCCAGGCTTTTGTTCTCCAAGGCACCACACCCGTCATAAAATAAAAACTGGTCACTCCAGTCCTGCTGAGAGGAAATTAGCTTATTGCTTATGAATAGTGATTCTGAAGGCAGATTGCTTAGGGTCAAAAAAAATAGCACAATCATTTATTTCTTCTGTGTGTTTTGATCAGCAACTTAACTTCCCTGTGCCTCAGTTTCTTATTCTGTAAAATAATTATAATAAGATTACAATCTCACAGGATCATTGTGGAGATGAAAAGGAATAAAACATATAAAGCTTAAAACAGTATCTGGCAAATAAACAATACATTGTAGCTCTTATTTTGCTAATATTAATCCTTACAAAAGCCAGGCAAAGCTGATATTTATGATAACAGTTTAAGAAATAAGGAAACAGGCTCAGAGAGATCAAATGACTTGCCAAGGTTGAATTAAAAAGATGAAATTTAAACTCTGCTTTTCCTGCCCAAACCCCATAAACTCTTCACTATTCTATATTGTTCTTGTGACAGTTTTACATAAAGCATCTTAAGGAATTAGAAAACTAGCTTTCAATTGGATGCATCAGTTGTTCAATAAATATAAGACAAGATATTGACTCAGTGAATATAAATAACCCCGTGATTCTAACCAGGGAGGTCCTCTTGCTATTGCCCACCATGCCAAATTTATTCTTGATTGTGTGTTTTTTTATCCTGCCCCATCATTGGTATAATCTTTATGCCTTCTTCCCCCACTTCCTTCTTCCAATTGCTGATTTAAATTCTACACATCCATCAAGGACCTCCACAGGATTTTTCCTCACAATTTCTGACAATTTCATGAGTGTTACCAGAGAGGTATATTACCGGTACTATCATTTATTTAGTATTTTTTAAAAATTTATTCACTTTATGTTCTTAAAGTTGTTTGCAAAGGAAACTACCATAAATGAAAAACTAGGCTTGCTTGGAATAAATAAACAACAGTAGCTATAAAAATCACTATAATATAAACAAAACAAAAGTCTAGCTAGTTTTGTTGCTTGCCAAAGGCTCTGAGTTTAAGATATGCTCTTTCTCATTTAAAAAATAAATAAAGATAAGCACATGCTACATATTAATGACATATGCATCAAATTGAAATTTTAAAAGTTTCTCATTGAAGTAACTAAGTAAACTGCAAGAAAGCTGAAAAAGAAATAACTTTCTCATTGAATGTTTCAATCTTATTTAATGTCATTATCTACTACTAACTTCTAGAATCTCTCATTTAATTCCCCCCAGCCTCAATATTACTTTTGTGAATTGCACCGTTTGTCTATTATACTTATTTGGAGACTTTATCATAACTTTGCTTATATATTAATACTTTTAACTAGTTTATATCATCACATGTAGGCAGATACATGAGGAATCCTCAGAACAGTAAAGTCTCAGTCACAAGTCATGGGTTAGCCAATCCAGAAATAATCTCATGTCCAATCACTCAGGCAACATCATATGGAAAAATGGTAAGGAAAACGTGAATTGATCACAAATTATTCTACAGCAAATCAGTAGGGACTTATATAAGGGAATAGCCATATATGTGCTTTCTCCAGTGCCTGTTAGTCATACCATTATGTGTAATTTATTAGTTAGAAACACAATGTTCTTTGTAAGATAAGAATATTTACCAAAGTTATTTATTGTGTTGCTGTTTGAGCTTTCTGATTTAGAAGCTAAATGTTCAGGTAAAGTTTAGCTTTGTATTAATGTGATCAACGTTTCAAAGTTCATTTACATTTCATAAGACTTCGTTTTCATATTACAGAATCAAAAGCAACAGAGTTGCCAGCCATCCTGACTACGGTTTACTGAACGTCCAAATTTGAGAATGGTTAAAAGAAGCACACTATGCTCATTTGCTATTTGACTTTCCTCATTTCCCTATAAACAGAGCGTGGCCTTTTCTCAAAACACATGTGTTTCCTGAAAGCTGTAAATAAAAACCAGGAATAATTGCAAATGTCTTTACTTACCATTAATTCTTACAACTTTAGCCATATTCCATAGCATTCATCTCTATTAAACTTTTATATCCACAGAACTGAGTCTAAATATGAAAGTTATTCACATGAAAATACTTTATCATCTTCAAAATATAATTCTGATTTCAGGTGGAAAATTTTATATATAAACATATATACATATAAAATATATATAAGTATATGTAATATATAAGTATATATAAAATACATATGTGTATAAATATAATATATATATTCCAGTCTTAATTAAATATTTGAGATTTGCAGAATTTTGTCCTCAGAATAACAATTTATTCATTCATATACATAAAAGTCAGACTTCTTAGGACACTTAATATAAGGATTTTAAATGGATATATGTTATGTTTTTTAAAGTTAAGGTTTTTTAAGGTCTTAATGCATAGTTATATTTCTTTTACACATTATGTTCCTCTAAAATTATTATACATTTTTGAATGCTGAAAAAAAATTCAATTAAAGGATAGTCCTAAAATTTATATGATACAAGTTTAAAATTTTTCACTCAATCTATTCTATCAACAAGGAAGTTTACAACCTAATAGTAAGAGGAACAAAGGACTTGATTTCCCTTGTACCCTAATCCTCCAGCAGCTAATAAATATTTTAACTGCATCTTCCAAATGCAACTTTATGCCTTGTTCAAAAATATTTTAACTAGTTCTCAAAAGTAGGAATTACTTACATGAGCTTTTGATTTGGAGCAATTTAGCAGAAGGAAAAGCCATCCATTTTAGTGAAAGAAGATGGAATATAAAACCAACAGAACTTAATTATCATCCTGGTTCTACACTCAAGGAAGCAATTTTATTTCTCTCAGCTAATGTTTGCAGATTTGCAAAATGAGAACAATAATATCTCCCTTATGGACATCCACCAATAATATGAGAAGCTAATCATAAGAATTGCTTTAAAATTGGTAGCGATCATTATCCAACTAACAATTATTTAAAAAGTATCCATTTTTCCATAAAAAATTGAATTAAGGTAGGTAGAGTTAGTCTTATTTGTTATTGTCATTATTTTCTATTCTCATGCATCCATGCTATGCATTTCCACTGCAGCCTGGTCCGTCTCATGGTGTTGTAGCCGCTGGAGTCTCAGTGCTGAGCCGGACAAGCAGTCTACACTCAGACTTGCACTCCAGCAGAAAATTATTTTTTAATTTTTTTATTTCAAGAAAATATGAGAGTACAAACATTTTAGTCAACCTTTAATTTTTGTCATTTTTTTTTCTTTTCTTTCCTCTAAAGCTGAGAATCAGAGTTCAATCAAAACAACAAAAATAACAGGTAAGTTAATTTTTTTTTTTCTCTATCCTCATGGGCAAAATACCAAGAATCAAACAAAGGAGACCAATCAGTTTGAGGGCAGAGTGAAAGAGTACAAGGGAAAATATTACATGGCAACTAAAATGTTTAGGAGACCTTGGGTCTAAAAACAACACAGCCCAGGAGAACATACAAGGATAAGCCTGGATGCCTTTGTGGTCACAGTGAGCAGAGCCAGCTCCACCGAATGTACAAAGCTGTGAAATCCTGCTCTGCCCAGAACTCACTGTTCTTGGTTTGCTGTTGCCCTCTCCCAGAGGAACACAGTGTCTTCTCTGTAGTTTCTGACAAAGTCTGTTCCTGGCATCCACAAAGATGATGTTATAAATCATAGTTAACAATCTAAAATGTTATCATTCTAAGAAGTGCTCGTGTTTGACCATCGCTTAGTTGTAAACGGAATGAATTTGGGGTGATGGAGCAACAGGAATTGAAGATCACTGGGCAGGGGAAAACGGTAATGTTGTCTTGAAATTATAATTATGTAGGGGATTTTTATCTTCCTATATCTTACCTGGTACATATGCAAATGACAAATCTCATAGGTTTTCCATCCCCGTCACCTTTTATATATATAAAATGTGAAATAAACCTAGAGGATCATGTAACTTTAAAAAAATTGGAAAAAAAAATAAAAATTATGAGTGTCTCTAATACCATTTTCACAGTGAATGTCCCAAATAATCATCTTATTCTACCTTCTACCTCCTGTGTTTAAGGAAGCTGAAACAAATGATTATGCCTTTAAATTTTAATTGTCTTTTACATAATATATCTCATTGATTAAGAAGTTATTTTATATTAATTCCATTTATTACACCTCATCACTATATTTTTATTATTTATATCTGCAAAACCTAGAAATGGGCATGCACTAGGAAAAACAAAGCAAAACAAAACATAAAAATAGTACATCCAGGCAGAGAGGGCTGACGCCGTTCTGGGAGGAGCCCTTCCCCTCTGCTTCGTGGATTGACTATCAAGGAGAAGTCAAAGGTGGAGGAGAATTGGGGAGCTGCCAAATTGTCAGTTCCCCTGAAGGAGGGACTGAAGTAGCTTTCATTTTGTTTAAAGAAATCGTGCTTACAAAATGCCAGCTATAACTGTAATTGATTTTAATGTAATAAGAAGCTCATTTAGGCTATTTTATTTTTTTGAATTATATAAACTAGCTTTTGTAAAACAGATTATAGACAATTTATTTGAATAGTGGACTAAAAAGATGAGGCTTTTCCTATAAACTGCAAGAAAAGTCAATTTAATTTCTTTACATTCAAACTTCAGATGAATATTGTGGCTAAAGACTAAACCCAGATTCCCCATCCCCCAAAAGATGAATTAACAAATTTATTAACAGGGTACTTTTTATACTTCTTTTGACAGCCCTAATAATTTAATTTTTCAGATTAAAGACTTTTTTAGTCACATATATTGTCTTCAAAGATGTTAAAATACCAAATTTGTGAAATATTTATTCATAGGATCAAGGATAGGCATATTATTAAAAATAATTAGTATTTCTGTTTTAGATACAACTTGACACAGAATTACATCCCACAGAATTACTAGTACTGTTTCCTTTCTATAAATATGAGCAAATATGTATTTAATCTTTGAATACATCATAGTTCTTACATTTGATATTTTCTTTCATATTATGCACCTAGCTTTAATTTTCTTGAAAATTTATATTTTTACAACTATTAATACTTGAAAAACTATTACTAAATAATTGATGATTATTTTACGCAGGACCTGTTTCAGGGATGAGGCATAAGTAAGGCAACTCCATATAAAATGTGAATTATGAGCAATTAAACGTAGATATGATATTTTACCATTATAAAATAAAAATAGATTCCTGTTGAGTGACATCAGCAATATAAGCAACTGGAAGCTGCTCGTGTACTCTCCTCCCCACACACAAAATCTCAAAGCAATGCATAAACAATTTACATTTCCACCAAAATAACTAAAGGAGAGCTCTGGAGAGCAGGCTCGAAGCAGAGGAATCCTGCAGAACGCAAAAGGGAGGACGTGGGGCGGGAGGGTGGGAGACACCTCGCCTCCACCACTCCATCCCCAGGTGGGACCAGCTCAGACCCGGCAGGGCCTCTTCCTGCAGGGAAAGGTAAGCAAGGGGACCACGCAGCCCGTGTCGCTGCTGCAGACTCGTGCAGTCCTGGCCACCAGAGACTCCTGCGGCCCCCACAGGCTCCCAGGCCAGCTGAGGAGCTCCCCAAGGACCACGCGCTGAGTCACCCAGAGCCGATGCTGTGCTCCTCTTCGCCCCAACCTCCGGTGGCTTCTGCTGCTGCTGCGCTGCCCAGTCTTGGAACCTGAGTCAGTGCTGAAGTGCACCCTGGCCCAGGGCCAAGCAGCCATGGCAGCCTCTCTTTCCGAGGTTTTGCTAGCCCTGCAACAGGCCTGTAGCACATCATCTCCCAGCCAAGGTTTGTAACCCCCACTCCCTAGGGCCTGGCTTCTGCGAAGCTGCTGTAGCACCCCCACTTCAGCGGTTAGTGCACCCTCCCCTAAGGCTGGGCTGAAGTGGTGCCCCCACCCCGGGACCTCAGGCCTCCTACGCACCAGAGCAGTCACACCCCTAATGGCACAGATGAAGCACACCTCTGAGCCCTGGGACCACAGGCCTTGGGCACACTGGAGCAGGCCATTCCCCACCCTGGCTCTGTAGGTAAGGCAGCAGCCAGCCCCTGGGGCATTGAGCTTCTGGCAGACCAGAGCAGCTGCACCCTCCCCTAGTGCCACAGCTGACGCAGCACCCTGTCCCCAGGATCCGGAGGCTCCACTGACCCACACAGCCATGCTGTCTGAGGCTGAGCAGCTGCGACACTGTGCAGCCCAAAGAGTCAGCGCGTTCGTTGTTTGAGCTGTGGCAGCCCGCCCTCCAGCCCAAACAGATCCAGGCCCCACCTCCCTAGAACCGAACTGGGACTAGTCCCCTGCCGTCTGAACTGCCGAGACACCCACCTCTCCAGGGACTGGAGCCACTGCTGTGCTGTCCCCTCCCACAGGGTCTCAAGCACAGCAGCATTTTGCCATTCCTGGGTCACTGCTGCTGCTGTACCCAGCCTCACGGGGCCTGGGCTACACTTGGGACCTCCAGACCATTCCGGCGTCCAGAGTCTCCACTGCGTGGTACTTCACCTGCTGAGCCATGTTAATTCTGGGTACCAAACTGCAGCTCTGCTATGTTCTCTGGGGCCCATGACTTATGAGTACCCCTTCTTCCCCTAAACTGTGCCAGTGTTCTGCCCTTCCCCTGCCCCCAGGGTCAGGACCACAGCTACATCCCAGCACCTTGGGCTACAGCTGCTGGGCTATGCCACAGAGCAACAGACCCTGGCTCAGTGGGAGAACTGTGTCCACCTGTGTCCTGAAAAATGAAACTATGCCCAAGTCCCAGGAGCTACAGTAGTTTCACAAGGACCTGGGCCCAGCAACCTACATCCACAGCTTCTCTAAGGACTATGCATGCCCTGAATCCCAGTATTGCCGCAGCTGCCCATGGGCTGTGTCAGACACAACACCAAGAGAGATCCCTGAAGCTAAGACTCCTCACAGTGGGAAAGACAAGAGCAGGAGCATTGCTAAAGCCTTTGCCCTAATAACCTAAGCAGCCGCCATCGCTACTACGAACTCCTACAGCCTAGACCACTGAGGCACCCGCAGTTATTGCTGACAGTGACCACAATGGAAGGAGCTGGGCAGAGACTGCACCACTGTGCCCACAGGGAACCACTGCACCCTGCCCAACAGGCAGCCTCAGGCCCATCTGCAGCAGAAAGTCTTCCCATACAAGAGCCACTCTGTAGAGTCTGGAAGAAATAACTGTCCCACCAGATCTGCAGATATCAATGCAGGGACATAAGAAACATGAAAAAGCAAGAAAACATGACACCATAAGGCACACAGTAATTCTCCAGTAACTGACCCCAAAGAAACAGAAAACTACAAGTTGCCTGAAAAGCATTCAAAATAATAATGTTAAGGAAACTTGGTGGAATACAAGAAAATACAGAGACTTTAATGAAATCAGGAAAACAATAATCTGATTGAGAAATTCAACAAAAAGGTATATATCATTAAAAAGAACCAAACACAAATTTTGGGCATGAAGAATTCAATTAATGAAATAAAAAATACAGTATAGAGCTCTAGCAGCAGACTAGATCAAGCAGAAGAAAGAATCTATAAACTAAACATAGGTCTTTCGAAATGACTCAGTCAGAGGAAAAAAGAAAAAGAATGGGGCAAGGGCAAAATCTGTAACCTAAACATTTGTCCCCCTGTAATATGCTGAAATAAAAACCCTGTTATTCTCATTGAAGAAGAAGAAGAACAACAACAACAACAAAAGAAAATAGTGAAGACAGCCTATGGAATTTATGAGACACCATTAAGGGATTAATTATTTGCATTATTGGGTTTACAAAAGGAAAAAAGAGGAAGAGACAGTGTATTTAAAGAAATAATTGCTGAAAACTCCCTGTCTTGGATGAGATATAGACATCTAGATTCATGAAGCTCAAAACTTCCCCAAAAGATACAGCCCCAAAAGGTCTTCTCTAAGGCACATTACAATCAGACTATCAAAAGTCAAAAAGAAAGAAAGAATTTTAAAAGCAGCAAAGGAAAAGTGTCAAGTCACATATAAGGGACTGTCCATTAGACTGTGAGTGGATTTTTCAACTTGCAGGCCAGGAGAGAATGAGATGATATATTTGAAGTGCTAAAAGGAAAAAAAAAAAAATTCCAACAAAGAAACAACACTATGCTCAACCAAGCTACTCTTCAGAAATGAAGGAGAAAGAAATAAAATATTTTCCAGATAAGCAAAACCTGAAGGAATTTGTCACTACTAGACCTGCCTTAAAGGAAATGCTTAAGGGTGTTCTTCAAGTGGAAATGAAAGGATAATAATTACTAGCATGAATACA